TTTTTAATAGTACATTTTTCCAATCAAATTTACTTTTGACCTCATCTCAATTAACAATAAAAGATCCAGAAGGATGCACCATACATGACTAGGCGGGATATGCTTTCCACTCAAAAGATCGAGAAGAACTGTTCCATAACTGTAGATGACACTCTCTGGAATGACCCTGCCTAAATTTGAAGGAAAGGAAAAAAGAGTAAAAATTTGAGGAAATTCACCAAACATGGAATGGTAGGATATTTATCATGATCTGAATAAGATTACTGTAAGCATGCTAAGTGCACTTCACATGCTGCTACATTAGTTCAGTCTTAAGAGCTTGGAGTTATAAGACCGTGGAACATTTTGATATGACCATCATTTTACCAGGTTCAAGAATGTTATACTTCAAGATCAAAAGGCTGCCACTTTGAACACTTTAAGAATCTCATAAAAGTTAAATCAATGCATAAATGGTTCATGGGTATCGCAACGTTGTTAATCTTTATTCTAACAGAGAAAACTAGCCAACTCGAACGAAAAATTTTAATGCTATGATGGTTTGTAAATTTTAACTCCTTTTAATGCTGTAACAGAGAGAACTACATTGATGCATATGCTGACACGCTCAAACAATATGTGGGAATTCAACATGCTGAAATTTAGTAAAAAGTAAATCATTTTTAAATTTAAAATAAAAGTAATAAAGGAGTTACTGGACAATATGCACTGCAGCAGGGTTCAACAAATATACCTGTTCTCAAAAACTCGGGAGGGGTGTATGCTAAATTTGTACTATAACTCTTCCCATCCCTACTATTCTTCATCAACCCAAAACTTGACAACCTAGGATCACCATCCTGTAACAGGAAAAAGAAAAATTCAGTCAACATTATGGACTGTAATGAAATAATGATAAGCTTAGCCAGGAAAACAAGGAAAATGAACTCAAGGACATTTCCAGATTTCAAGTGATTATTGCTATAGATTCAGCTGATAGCACAGAAAGGATTTAATAATTAGCCAATTTCGTCAAGTATCCTGACCAGTTCATTTCTTCAGAAATATCCACTTATACAGCAAATGTGAATATATTGTGGGTAGGCAAAGATATAAAGGATGATTCTTAAGGACAGCCCTACTGACTACTGTCATGGACAATAATTTATTCCTTTGAAAATTTGCAGTATTACAGCTTAAATGACTGTGGTATTCAACCTCAATTGGGAGGAAAAATTTTACATAAAAAAAAATTGAAGTTCTTCAAAGCCACTTAAATACACTTGAGTACCTCATCAAAAAGAACTCTATAGGCATTTAAGTCATGATAAATTTTCCTATTTTCGGTATTGCAGTGGTCAAGAGCTTGTGCTATGTGGTATGCAACTCTCGCACGCATTTCCCATGGCAAAGGCTTCTTATCCCCTTCATGAAAAAAAATAAAAAGAAGTTGTGAGAAACAACACAAAAAAAAAAACATTAAAAAGGTAATTCCAACGTAATATATATATAGTATATTTCATTAGAGAAAAATATAATCATACAGTGAAAGAGGTGCTTAGAAAGCGTATCATTAGGCATGTACTCTGCAACTAACAGTCGTTCATCGCCTTCAGCACAGCATCCAATCATGTTCACCAATCTTTTATGCCTAACCTTGCCAACTCCAGCAGCCTCTGCCTGAAAAAATAAACACTATATATGAAAAAGAAGCATAGTTCTAATTCGATCACAACAAAAGTAGCAGCATGCATGGTCAAAGAACAGCTGATCATTACATAGAAAGTCCCAAAGAGCAGTTATTAGAAAACAAATAAGTAAATTTATTATAGCAACACAGGAACAAAATCTGTAACAAAATCAATAAAACGTAGATATTCGAAGGCCTCCCTTCCCCACAAGGAATGCCTACAACACGAATGTCAAAATATGCAGCTCAAAATCAAAAACTATGAATCCCAAAGGCAAGAAAAGACTTTAATAGCAGTTAATATATACACATGTATATAAGGTTACCGAATGCAAAAGTTAAGCAGAAAGCTGAAGTTGCTACATCAGTAAATAAGAAACTTACCACAAACTGCTGAGGATCAGGCCACGATTGCTTCGAAAAGCGCTTGACGGCAACAAGCCTGTTACTGCTAAGCTTACCTCTGTAGACAACATTAGGAGCTTTGTCACCACTCTCTGAAACTATAAGTTCGCTGCTAAAACCATTTGTTGCGGCACGAAGCTCTGCAAGCCCGAACTCCTTAAAGGCCGGCACTTGATCTTGATCCATTTGGTCCCCATTTTCTACATTGACAATTTCTCATCATATAATAAACTATAGATAGTAACCGTGGACGCCCTACTCTACTGTACATTATATAGCATAAACCTCCGGAAAAAAAGTAATTAATTTTCTATAGCAAGATTCCAGTTTTAACTCTATTTTTCAGCCTAGGATTGCATTATTCATACACTAATAACTATTTTTCCGCTTAAACAACTGAATCTAGCCGCAAAGTCAAAAACCCGAAAGAAAAGTGGGGACAGTTGGCCTTTATTTTTTTCCCAAAGAAATCGATACAACCCAGAAAATTTATGCAGCCATATATATAAAAGCAACCCGACGGGAGCTTATCAAAAGAAAGCAAATATGAAATGAAAAATGCCAAACAAAAAAGGAAAAAATGCACAATCTTTTACTTGCGCAATGAGATGAGAAAGTAGCACATAAATAACCCCCCAAAATACACACAAAGTCACAAACACACACACACACACACTCTATTATCANAAAAAAAAAAAAAAAGAGGAGCAAGAAGTGAGAAAACAGGGAATACCCAGATCTGGTTTGGACTCGGGCTGTGAAGGTAGTTTGTCAGGGGACTGAACATTAGCAGTCTTGGACTGCAAACAGCCCATGTCTAACTGTGTTCACATCCACGCACTTCAAGCCCACTGAGTGCACCTCTGTGTGTACGCTCCGATGTGAACTTTGTCGTGTATGAGAGAAAAAAACAAAATCCCTTTTTCGGTTTTAATGCGCGATGCTCTTTATGTATGGTGATGCTTGTTTTCTATAGAGCTTGCAATGAAATTGAAGAAACTGTGAGCCACTGTGTGTGTGTGGAAGATGAAGGGGGTGAGTAGAGAGAGCAGTGAAATTGACTGTCAGGGGACTGGGAGGGAGTCACGTGATGCGTCGATTATTGCCACGTGATGAGTTGCAGATATAATATGCTTTTGTACTTTGTAGCTTGTACACTCCGAAGATGTTCACATTGACTTTCCCATTTGCAACAAGTGTTACTAAATGTGAAGGGAAACGTTCACATGCACTAATGTGTGTATGCCTTACGTGGCATACACACATTAGTGGTGTTAATATATTAAAAAAAATACATCATCAATGTGTGCATGCCACATAAACGGTGGACATATTAACATGTGTCCACTGTGAGCATGTGAACATTTTCGTAAATGAATATGTGAGAGAGGAACTTTGTGTGTATGATTAAGTTTGTTGAAAGCTCGTTTAAGTTAATGAGTCACTTACTTTATCTTGTAAGCTAAAAAATATAATTTTTAATAGTTTTGTTCGTCAAAACTTGATATTGACTCGTTAATATTGATAAACGAATCGAGCTCGTCTTGACTAGTTAAAAGCTTGATATCACCTATACTCGTTTACACCCTTATTTATGGGTTGATTTTTCACCGTTGATTACACATACTCACACATATATATCATGTAGTGTGCGTATGTAGTGTGTATTATTCAATAATAAATATTCGTCAAGAGTAGGTAATTAAGATCGTATTTGAGGGTCAAAATAGTGATAGATAACGTATTTAGGTCAATATATACAAAGGTGTTATTCAATGTGTTTGCTAACACAACTCGGTTTGATTCGGTAAAATTTGATTTATATTTAATTGTTTACTTTAAATTCTGAAATACTAGTTTTAAACAATCAATTGACATTATTTGCAAGCAACTCGAATATATTTTTTATTTTATTTTTTAAAATTTCTAACAAACAGTCTACTCGAGCAAGTTCACAAATGCATATGGGAATGCTCACAAACAACTAATTTCCAATTTCTGGTATGTTAAACTAACTTAGGTGAGCTTAAATGAGCTCATACACGAAATGCTCGACTCCAAAAACTCTCTCAACAACTTAAATATGCTAGTTTGAAGATTTATTTGTTTCGGTCCAAGTTAGTTT